AAAAAAAATAAAATTCTTTTTTGGGGGAAATTATTATTTTTTTTTTCAGTAAAGTTGACATAATATTGATTCTTTTATAGCTTTAATTGCCAGTGTCTTCTCTTAAACAATAATATTAAATATTTGGAGTTCCTCAGTCATAAAGTGAAAGAAAGGCTGGAGGTTTGAGTCTACCCGGGGGTGCCTTGGAAGAGAGTCCTGGCAACGTACTTCCAAAACATCAGCCATTGAAAATACTACAGAGGACGGTTCCACACAGACACTAGACACATGGGGTCACCAGTGTCAGAATCAACAGCAGCTGGTCTCCACTATTATGGATTCTTGTAACATTTTGATGACGGGAATGGAAGAAAAAGGAAAAAGCACTGTTATTTGGGCTGAGAAAACAAGGCAAATAAGAACATGAGATTTTGCAAAAGCTTCTGCTACTTCAAGGAGCAAAACCCCAGCTTTCTGCAGATTATCACGCAACAGGGTTGTTGTTGTGTGCCACCAAATTAGAAGTCATTCTGACCCTCCAGCTGGTTTTCAGAGGCTGTAAATCACAGGGGAGGAAATTGCCTATATTCTGAAGAGCAGGTGGTGGATTTGAACTGTGTGCCTTGGAAATTACAGCATATTTTCTTACCACTAGGGTACCAGAGCCCCTGGCAGGACTGAGCAGGACTGCCCTGTACTATTTCTACCGTATGGAGAGGTGAACTGTCTCATCTTTCTCTGATGGGAGAGACTGGTGGGTGGTTCCAAATTCTCACCTTTCACTTAGCAGCCACAGCATCACCAAGGCACCTCCTTCAAGGACAGACTGATGGAAGTGAGTGTGGCCAAGGAGCAAAGCCACTTGTTCCAGCGTGGAGTCTGAAACATCACCTTCTCTGCGTGGGGACCTGAGCTGTGCACTTAATAAAAAAATAGGCTCAGAACTCATTTTCAGTAAAGAGACTGCGCAAAAATAATAGTGATGCCACTGCCACAAACTGCTCCCAAGTTTAATAAGCCCATGTGTGAAGTCAAGACAATTGCCGTGTGGTCACAGACCCAAACCACAGCTGTTGAGTGGTTTCAGACAAAAGCACTGCCTCGTGTTGTTTCCAAGGCTGTAATCTTTACAGAGGCAGGTGACCACAGTGCCCCCTCCCACCAAGTGGAGCAGTTGGTGGGTTTGAACCACTGACCTTTTGTTAACCAAGTTCTTAACTACTCCACCACCAGGATGCTCACTTCATGCTTTTTTTTATTATTCCTTTTAATGAAAGTTTACAGACTTTGGATTTCCATTCATTCATTGTTGAACTTTTCTCTCTGCCCATCTCTCCCCTCCCAATTTGCTCATCTCTTTGAAAAGTAAAAGAAAAATTCTTTCATTGTTCTACAATCCTTCCCCCAAGTCCACTCCACTATGCAGCCTTCCTTCTGGACTCCTGTCATGACAATAATACCTAATCATATATCCCTTTTAAAACAGTTGTCTCCCTCACCAAAGGCTAGGATTCGAGGTTTTCACTCTGCCTACTCTGCCCAGCACACAGTGTGAATAAAACGAGACAGGATCCCTCAGCCCAGCTGAGAAGGGCAAGCGAGCCGTTCCCACAAGATCACATTTGCAGAGGGCAAATGGCCTGACTAAAATAGCTAAAATGTATGGAGGACACAGTATCTTACCATCATACTTTTGACTTTAAGGAGGTCTGGCTGGCCCCCTGCTTTGGGGGCTGAATTTATTCTGTCTCCTAATCTACTTCGTTTGTGTGTGATTGATGAACCTGCGTTGTTTTTCTGTATCTCAGAGGTTTCCCACCTTTAGCTGTCTTACCACTTCCCTGTTACTCATTTGAGTGGAAAAGATCTGTGCGTCCTTCTCTGGGTTGATTTCCGCCTTACACAGATCCTGGCTCCAACAGGTTCTACTGGATTTCTAAGAAGAGGCCAAAGTTCGTGGGTCTGTACCACAGATCTGTAGCACAGATGTGAGGTTCTCATATCTGTAACTCAGCGAGACTGGTTATGGATATAATGGCTTCTTGTTGTTGTTGTGGTTATGTGCCGTCAAGACGCTCACGACTCATAGCGACCCTATGTACAACAGCCCTAAACTCCGCTCTGTCCTGTGCCAATCTCATGTACATAGGGTTTTCAGAGGCCTGCTATTCTGGAAGTGGATGGCCAATCCTTCTTCCTAGTGTGTGTCAATCTGAATGTTCAGATCTAGAGAAGTATCCAACAGATGAGCATTTTATCGAAAAAGTGAAAATATATCCCTTATTGTGGAATTAACCATTAGTTTCAGTGTTGTCCCTGTCCTTGACACAAGTGCTCTGACCCACTTATTTCTTTGCTCCACCATCCATCAAGATACCCCTCCACTTCTACCCACTCCCTTCATCACCTATCTCCCATTGTCTAGCCCTTGATCTGATAGCTTTTATCTAAAGCTTCCTTGGTTTCTGTGATTCCAGATTCATCAGCTGCTAACAGTTTCTTATGCTGTGACCAGAGCAATTTTCCAAGAACTCTTTTTTTAAAATAATTATTCATTTTATTTGGTTCTGTTCTTATTTCATTTTTTTCTTTTTATTGTGTTTCATCAAATCAGTTCTGGCTGGCACAGGAGGAGATTGCCCCTCCTTCTCCAGCAGAGCATCTGATGGATTCGAACTATGCACCCTGGGGATGGCAGTGCAGCTTCTTGCCACTAGGTCACCAGAGCTTTTCTTTTTTTTTCTTTTTAAGAGTCATGGCTATTGAACTTTGGAATCCTGATGCCTTAGAAGAGGGTTGTTCTAAAAAAAAAAAGAAGAGGGTGGTTCTCTACGTTTCTGCTTAGTTGTGTTGTGCAGAGGGGTGGAAACAGTTTCTGTCACACCTTTCCCAGAGATGTCTTTCTCCAAGGACATGGCCAAAGAGACAAACTGTTGGCATTCTTGACTCTAAGGGGAGCCCTGGATCTGTTTTCTGTTATCCATAGGATCTCAACTCAACAATAAGCAGAGTTGACCAAAGTTTACGGCTATCTTTGTGTTCTGCATTTGTTTTACCACGTCCAGGGATATATATCGTTGGTTTGCTCCGGAACCCTCAGTAATAAGTGACTCTTGGTCTCCTCCTCTGACGGCTCATTCTGACTGTTCATCCCATTCTGGTTTGTTTGATGATGATGATGATGATGATGATGATGATGATGATGATGATGATTTTGTGTGTGTACTGTCGAATGGGACCTGACTGATACAAGAGGAGATTGTCCCTCCTTCTCCAGCAGAGCATCTGGTGGATTTGAACCACTCACCTCTGAGATTGCAGTGCACCTTCTTGCCACTAGGCCACCAGAGCTCACCTGTTCATCCCATTCCTAAGCTAAATTCCTGACTCACCCACAGAGCTCACTGCTGTTGAGTCATAGCAACCTTCCATTGCGTTTTCGACGCTCAATCTTTACAACAAGTGACTGTACATCCTTCTGAGGAGTGGTTGGTGGATTCGACCCAGTCTTTCTGTCAGCAGCCTAGTACTTTATGCCGCGTGCCTCCAGGGCTCTGTACCTAAGTAACTCTGCTTGGTTAGAATAACCCAGCTTGGTGAGAGTCCCACCCTCTTTTTCCATCTGTAGGCCTCATTTAATGTTCCCATCTTTCACATTTTGGTAAGAGGAGCCTCTAAGTGGAGCTGTAATCTGAGCATTCTGTTTAATAAATGCACTCAGCATGGGCATTTGAAGCCAAGCCTTCCATCTGTAGCGCACGTATTACAGCACAGTGACATTCCAGCGCAGACAGCTGAAGGACAGCTTTGCAGGGAGCCGAGAGCAGCCAGGTGGAATCAATTTAGCAAAGCTCAGGGCTTCTGGATTGATGGTCTTGAACCCCCTGTCTTCAGGGCTCTGATCTCAGGCAGCGGTTTGGCCGGCAGATCATTGGCCTGTTTGTGAAACGGGAGGCCTTCCAAATGGAGCCCAGGGCTTTGTGATTTCTCTGTAGCAGGCAGGTCCTTCAAAACCTGGCGCAGGTCTTTATTCTGGGAGTCCCTGGTGATGCAAATGGCTAACATGCTCGTCTGCTCACTGAACAGAAGGCTGAATGTTGGCATTTGTTCAGAGGTGCTGTGGAAGAAAGGCCTGGCTTCTAATGCCAAATATCAGCCATTGAAAACCGTCGGGAGCACAGGTCTACCCACTTACCCATGGGGGCACCGGAGTCAGAGTGACTCGCTTGCTAAAAACTCATTTCTTGATAAAAAACTCCGACTAATCAAATCACAACCAACTCAGAGCTGACCCTCCAGTAAGTTTTCAGAGGCTGTAAATTGCACAGAAGATTGCCCTATAGAGCAGCTCGTGGATTCGAACCTCTAGGGAGGCACTGCCTTGGGGTTGGTGGTTCATCTCCCTGTGGGCTGCACCGCGAGAGTGCACTGTGCTGATTGGATAGCACCGGTTTTTACTGTTACCTTTACAAGGGGCGGGGCGACATTACACAGTCTGAAGTGTCTTGGGCAAACCCTGGCTGCTCCACTGGTCAGCTGTGGGACATGTGACGGGCCATTTCTGCCCATCCGCAGTTACATTGAATCCCATTGTCCTTCCCTGTAAAATAGGAATAGCATGAGCCTTACAGAGCTCTTAAGACAAATGAGAAATCTATACAAAGCCTTCCCAAATCTCTCAGTTCTCTGTGTTTGTACTAGTTTCAATTCATTGAAAACTTATTTTTTTATTATCCTCAGAATTTAAAAAAAAGAAAGTCACTGTGCTTTCTGGTTTTGCAGCTGGGCACAGATATCCTTTAGTGATGACTGCAAATGTCCACTTTAGTAGGATTTTAAATAAATCGTCATTCATGACAACCTACTTGATAGCCGTGCCTTGTAAAGACCCAGCTCATCCAGCCTAGAAGGTTTAAATCCTGAGTCTCCATCTCTCTGCATGTTTCCTTTCGTGGCTTGTTTTCCGGAAGGGAAAGTTCAGCTTGTAACTCTGTTTACACGGCTTTGTCTTCCTGCAGCAACTCCAGAAGAATGGGCAGCTATCCACCGTCAGCGGCTCACCCGGGCAAGGCGAGCAGAGCGGCCAGGAGGGAGACCTGAGCGGCCAGGAGGAAGCAGTTGTCCTCACAGATGGTAAGTCATCCTCCCAGGCTCCTGGCAGAGCGCCTCGGGCTGCAGACGGACAGCACCTGCAGCAGAGGGCAGCCAGCACAGGCTGGAGAAAGCAGGCTGTGTCTACACGGCAACAGGAAGTGTGTGTCTGACCATTTGGGTAGCTCCTGGACTCAGGTCCTGAATTATCCTTTCTCCTTCCTGGAGGCCCTCAGCTGGGACTTAATGCTTTTCATGATGGTTGCCACATCTCAGCCACTAGTCTACTATCAAATGTGAATTCTGTTGCGTGTTATTGTTGAGAACATGCACACTAATACAGCAGTTTCCTCCATGTACAAGTCCGTGACACTAATCAGATTCTTGGAGTTTTGCAACCGCTCTCAGCTGTTTTTCTGAGCTGTCCCTCCTTCATTAACATAAACTCATTGCCCTTGAAAAGCCTCCTATCTAATCTTTCCAGTGGCTGTGTGGTCAGTTTGATCCCATGTGGATAGAGCTTAAAAGAGCAAATTGCCTAAAATAGATGTCCTCCTAGTTAAGCTAATCTATTATTTGGCTTTTAAGAAGACTTCAAAAGAGATTTTTCTGGTGTAAGTTTTAAGTGATTACCTCTGAGTAATATTCAATGTCTGTATGTACAGACTCTTTGGATTCCGTGAGAATTTGAACATCTGTTGTGCATTTCCCCCCTTTTGATCAAGCTTTTGCATTGTTGAAAATAGACCCCAGTTCGACAGTTTCTACATGCACACGTCTGTGACGTTCTTTGAAATACTGCAACCTTTCATTTGTTGATTATACCTTTCTTTTTGGGAACACCGGACTCGTCCATTACTTAGAAAAGCCTGGTCTACTTGTACCGATTATGTACCTTTCAAGGTGAACCCTTCCCTCTGTCTCATCTGATGCACTGCATATTTTATAACTCTTGAATCTTAGAGCCTCTAAGCCAAAAAATCCAAGCCCCACACCATCCATTCTTGTGTAAAATCTCTGCAAAAGCAGATTGCCAAGCCCTTCTTCCACAGTACTGACCAGTGTTTTGGTGAGTCACATCAGTATCTTGGCTGTGAAGTCAGAACCGACTCATAGCTGACCCTCCAGTGGGTTTTTGCAGGCTGTAAACCACATGGGTAGAGACAGCACATCTTTCTCTTGTGGGAGCCAGTGAATTAAAACCGGCTGAGGGGCTCCTGTTAGCAGTGCAGCTCCCCACGGACTACACCACCGACGTGCCCTGTGTTCTTCTCAACTAAAAAAAACCCCTTATAATCAGGGAGTTGGAATTGCTTTATAACTGACCCACAAGTAGACTTTCACAGGCTGTAAGTCGCCCACAACTGCACCAGCAGAGCTCGTAGTCAACTGCAAACCCTGCCTGCCAGGGGCCTATTGGAGAGTGAGCCCGTCATCACAGCCTCACTAGCTCGAGTTCAGCCTGAACAGGAAGTGAGAAGAACCACTACAAGCTCAGAATTTAAGCGTTGGACTGGTGGGTCTCTCAAGAAAGACAAATGGTTCCACAGTCAACACTCTTGATACCAGCAGCCAGGAAATCAAAAGACAAATTGCATTGGGAAAATCCGCTATCAGGGAGGGACTTCTCCCGAGTTCTGAAGAGCAACGATGTCAGCCTGGAGACTAAGGTGCGCCTGATCTAGGCCATTGTCTTCACAATTCCATGCTGTGCATCAGAAAGCTAGACAATGACTAAGGATGATACAAGAAGAATTTATGCCTTTGAGTTTTAGTGCTGGGGAAGAGTGTTGAATATACCATGGACTGACAAGGGAACTAACAGGTCCATGCTGGAGAGTGTGAAACCAGGCTGCTCCTTGAAAGCAAGGATTTTGAAGCTCCATCTCACATACTTTGAACATATTGCCAGGAGAGACCAGTCCTTGGAGAGGGACATCATGCTTGGAAAGGTAGAGGGACAGGCCTAGAGAGGAAAAGTCAGGAAGAGATAAATTGACTCAGTGACTAGGCTAATGTGGGTATGTGTGTTGGGGACGGTGAAATTGGCTCAGGAGAGAGCAGGGTTCAGAGCTGTTGTACACAAGGTCGCTATACAACAACAACCAAAACATCTCTGGTTTCTTGTGTCATTGCTCAACTTAATCATAAGTTGAAGGAATAATTTTATAACCACTGTGGAAGACATTGGAGCTCTGGTGGCCTAACGTTAAGAAGCTGCACTGCAATCCCGAAGGTACACGGTTCGAATCCCCAGTTGCTCCACAAAAGAAAGATGGGCAGTCACATACTGTGCGATTAACTGCCTCTGAAAACCTGCCAGAGGGTCAGCTATGGGTCAGTCTGACTCAGCAGTACACAGCAACAACAACATGGAAGACATGAGGGCCTGAGAGGCACAGTGGAGCTCTGGAGTCCGTGATTTGGACCTGCCTTCTGCTCCAGGGATAAAGGTGGGCAGTCTTCTCCCGTTAACAGCCTCAGAGAGTCAGAGATGGGGCCTCGTTAGGTGTCCACCTTGACGGCTGTGGAGTGGGTGGGTGTGGCAGCAATAGCCATGGGTCACATGGTGGCTCAGTGGTAGAATTCTCACCTTCCACGTGGAAAACCTGGGTTCGATTCCTGACCAGCATACCTCCTGTGCAGCCACCATCCATCTGGAGGCTTACAGGTTGCTATGGTGTTGAACAGGTTCTAGCAGAGAGTCCAAATGAGAATGCACCAGGAAAAAAAACCTGGCTGTGTCATTCCAAACCCTCGCCAGTGGAGTCTGTGTGGATCACAGAAGCCTGATCTCCAGCCAGTCGTGGGGGTAGGGGGTACCCAGGCTCAGGCTGTGTTATTTTCTGCTGTGCATAGTGTTTCTGTGAGTTGGAGACTGACAGCAGCACGAATGAAAGATGTGAGAAAAGATGGCAGTCCAGAGTGCTAAAGAGCAACAGTGTCACTCTACAAACTAAGGTGCACCTGATTCAGAACATGGTCTTCACAATTACTCGTGATGCATCAGAGAGCTGGACAATGACCAAAGATGACAGAATTGATGCTTTTGAGGTGTGGTGCTAGAAAAAGAGTATTGAACATACCATGGACCGCCAAACAGGTCTGTTCTGGAGAAGGGGAAACCAGATGGCTCCTTGGAGGCAACCTTGGAATCAAACCCAGGTTTTCCATGTGGAAGGTGAGAATTCTACCACTGAACTACCATGTGATTTTGAGGCTCTGTCTCACATACTTTGGGCATGTTGCCAGGAGGGGCCGGTCCTTGGAGAAGGACATCGTGCTTGGGAGGGTCAATGGACAGCAGAGGAAAGGAAAACCTCAGATGAGATGGATTAACACAGTAACTGGGGTTATAGGGGTAGTTGTGTCAGGGACAGTGAGATTGGCTCAAAATCAAGCAGGGTTCAAAGCTGTTGTACACAGGGTCGCTATGAGTTGCAGTTGACTCAATGGCACGTAACAACAACAACCGACTTGACCATCACATGAATGCAAAACCGTGAAGGGAGAAGTGTAATAGAAGAAGCTTTCTCATTTCTTAGGTTGGGTAGGCTCTTCCACACTTGACACCTGTTTCTCATCTTGCTCGCTGCCCCACAGAGCTGCTTCGGGCAGGGAGCTGCCTTTGAAGTTGCTGGGAATCCCGGCCTATGTCCAGTGCACCCCAGATACAATATAAAGTTCAAGCTACACAGTCTGGTGGATGGGCGTTTGTACTACCTCGTGTGCCAGCCTCAAATAGTTCTCAGCAAAGGCATTGGCTTGTGCCCAACGCAAATTCCCAAGCGCCAGGCTTTGTCCTTCCTGCTCCAAGGTTTGAATCAATTCAAACAACAGCCACGCCTGAGGCCGCCGTGGTAGATAGAAGTGGCTCCTCAGAAGAAGAGGCTTCTCGGACCTGAGATTCTCACCAGCAGGGGAGATAAGAAGCTAATCTACTGAATTGAAACAGATGAGGGAGAGAACAGTTTAAAAGTGATATATGCCAGCATATTACGATTATCACAGGAATCCAGAATTAAGGTTGTATAGCAGAGTGCATTGGGGGCGGGGGGGGGGGGGGGGGGGGGGGGGGTGGGGGGGGGGTTTGTTTAGGGGCCAGGGGTGGGGGAGGGGGATTGTATACCAACGAAGAAGTTTATCTTTTGCTTTTCAAGGAGAGGAGTGAAATGGGGGGACGGGGGTAAAGAAAAAAAAGCAACAATGAATGAATGAAAATACAAAATCTCTGTAAATGTTCATTAAAAGTAATAAATTTAAAAAAAAAATAAAAGTAAGTAAATGGGAAAAAAATAAGCTAAGAGAGTGCACCAAGTAGCAAGGCAATGAGAGGTTAAAGAAGATAAAAATTCACATATGACAAGTTCCAGCACTGATTTGATGAGCTGGTGAGTTCAGGAGGAGTGATCACTCCGTGGGGACCGAGGGGAGGTTGTTTAGACAGGGAGCTCTGGTGGCCTCCTCGTAAAAAGCTGCACTGCCAACTCAAATCCATGCCGTTTGACTCTCCCGGCCTCTGCGCGGGAGACAGACCCCGGTGCGAGTCATGGCCTCTGGAAAGCTGCTGGAGCCTCAGCTCTGTTGAGACAAGCTGCCTCCCATTATGACCCTCTGAACAGGATCGGAACCTGCGGTGTCCTGTGCCGTCCGCACCGTCTCTGAAGAGGCTGAAGCCCGTTGTTACCATCACCGGCTCTGTCTTGTGGAGGCTCTTCTTGTCCTTCTCTGACCCTCCATCTTTTCCACCCCGATGGATACCAGCAAAAGCGGAAAGGACATTATTCTCTTCGTGAGTTAGTCTCACTAGCATGTTGTTAAGCCAAGTACTGCTCTTTCCAGCCACAGCAACCCTGCGAAGTGTGGAGTGTCCTTCCTAAGAGGGAGGGCAGCAGACGGTTGGCGCTGCTGGATGGTCAGTTGGTCGGCATATGGTTCCCACCCAGGGTGTGTCCAGAGGCTCGTGGGTTCAAACCCTGGATGTGGTCTGAGCCACGGGTTATGGTGAAGAGCCCAGCAGAACCTG